GCATTGCACCCAGACATTCGACAATCCAGGCTTCCCCGTGTGGACGGAGCTGGTGGAAACACCTGCCGCGCCACGTGACCCAGGCGCGGAGCAGGACATTCCCCAGGATCCAGGCAGCGTTGCATCCGCAGCTCCAGATCAGGAAACTATGGTACGGATCATCGCCCAACAGAAGGGAACCAACCGCGAGGAGGGTGACAACGAGTCCGCCTTGCAGGAAGAGGCTAGCCGTATCCGTACAGAAAACGTATGCCATGGTGATACCGATGACGCGGACAACGACACGACCGAGCGCGTAGGACTGCCAGGGGAAAGATTGTCTAAGATCGAGATCGAGGGAATGAGCAGATCGATCGCTTCCCGCCCGGCCGCCGAGATCAACCGCGATGCCATCGATCAGATCGGCCGCTGTCTTGCTCGTGGTGGGGACACTCGCTGGGGATCTCGTGAGCACCTCACGATTGACGGAGCCCCAGAAGATATTCAGCATGATATCGCGCGATGTCGGAATTGCGATCGCATCTTGTCCCTAGGGATCGTTACAGATGAAGGTACCCTTTGTGACATCTGCTGGCAGTACACTGTTGCCGTAGGTGCTACGGGTAAAAATACCGCTGTCGAGAGCGACCTGGCATACCTCCATAAGCTGGCCCACTGGATCAAGGCGACGCTCTCCCAGGACGACGTCACGAGGTACATGAGAGATGGAGCGCAGATCATCATGACGGGCAAGCGCTCCATTCCAGGCAATGAGAAAGACGTGCTGAGGAGAATGGCCAATTCCGCTAGGAAGAGGTATGAGAAGTGGGTCGCCTCTGGCTCCCCTCCTGCACGCATGTGCAGATTGATGGGCGAGCGTGATGACGACAGACCTCTATACCATCCCTTTGCCAATCTCATCCAGCGCTTACTCAATGTTTTGAAGTTCCACCACCAAATGACAGGCGCTCGTGTCAATAAAGGCAAGAACGCCTATACCATTGAGGATCTGCGCGACGCCTGTGAAACCCTCGAGACCAGCATCAGGACTGGCCAGGCTGGTCGGAAGAAGTGGTGGTTGAACGCAGGCAGACTCGACCGAAGCACGCGGCAGGCACGCGGACTTGTCACGATTGCCCATCCCAGAGGGGATGGCACCCGTGAGAGAGGCGCAAGCTTGCCGCGCTTGCTTATGTTGAACCCGCCTTTGGTTCCACTGACCAGAGGGGCGTTGATTCAGGGATGAGAACCGATCCGATCGAACCTGATACACACTCCCAGTACTCTGATGATGCCATGGAGCCACGCATGCCGCGGCACCCGCCGCCGCCGCCGCGCCCCGCTCCTGGCGGCGCTGCAAGGTCCAGCGCCTATGGCGCGCAGGGCCACATGCCCGCGGGGCCGCGCGGCACTGCAGCGCAGCGGCAGGACAGCGACGACAGCCGCAGACCTGCGACACCTCCCCGCGCCAAGGGGGCGCGCACGACGGAGGACTACGCTACGTGGTGGCGCGACGACCTGGAGGACAGCCAGTGGGGCCCCAGATACTGGAGCTACTACATCAAGTGCTGGATGTACATCACGGACAACAACGACGAGTTCGTATACGTCCGCGACATCCAGTACAACGGGTGGTTCCGCCACTGGATCATGCGGACGCCTTGGGAGACATTCACGACGAGCTACGTGTCGTACGACGGCCACAGGATGTGGGACCGCAGGTTCTACGAGAGGGGCAACGCGTAGTAGAGTCGGCCGCCAGGCCCACCGTTCGAAAGGCTTGAATTTCATCATTGTGCAAGTTCGCCGTGGGCGGTGGCTATTATATTCTTTTAGGCCACTTCACTATCCAAGACAAGCGGCCACACACATATCTTTGCGATGCCCAAGGCAGCATCCTAAGGAGCAACGCCAACGGGAGTCGCCAATCACAGGAATCATATATATATATATATATATATATGCAGTTTTTTTTCGTGTTTGTTAACGCGACTTTGCGTCTGGCCAGACATTTGCTTTGATATTTAGAGGTGTTTCGTAACACGATCGTGTTCATCAGCACGATCTCAGAATACATTTTTTTAACCGTTTACTCTTTAGACTTTGCTTACATTGCGTTGAGAATGATCTGGCGGCCAGCTCTCTACCCACAGCTGGTGGCAACGCCTGCCTCGCTTAGGCGAGGCAGATTCTGATGTTGCTTTAACTGGCTCAGATCCTCTTTCTCCGCCCACCCGTGTCTCATTCTTCTCCGTCCTCGAGTGCCGAAGCGTTTTTGGGGGGGCGCACCGAGGGGGCGCCAAAGCGTGCTTGGCGAAGAAATAGGGACCCTTGGTGTTCCTTCTTACCTTACCTTGCAGCTGAGGCTATACTGATTTTGCGCTCAGCTGCCTGACAGAATTGAGGATTGAAGGAGTCAAAGGGTGACGGATTCTTTTCCTCTGTTCCCGAGTCCTACCCTCACGGGCGGGATTCGGGACGGGGGGTGTGAATAGAACCCGTGTAATACCCTCATATATACTCCTTATCCTCACCTCTCCTGCGCCTGGCCGTTTGGGCTCAGGTATTGGGACAGATCGATCAGACCTTTGATCGTGCAGGAGGGAAAGACATCCATCTATCCCTCCTTCCCTCTACCAACGGATCAGGGGTTCTGTGCCCTTGTACTTCAACGCCATACACAGTTTCATTGGCATCATGAACCTCGCCATGACATGGCACATGGGCAAGTAGCACAAGGGCTAGGAAAACGCACGGGTGGCACGCGTCACCCCGGAAACTCAAATTGTGAAAACCAATTGTTTCACTTGTAGTCTGGGCCCCAACATGGGCTGATCGGTTTTCAAACGATAAGGGGGGTCCTATTGCGCGCGCGCTGGGTGACCCACCCCACGGTGGGTCGCCAGAAAACTGGATTGCGAGGATGAATTTGGCGCTTCGGTCATAGATGTTGGGCCCCAAGGAGATGCTGCATGCAGAAAAAAACGAGGGGTGACGCGTGCAGACCCGCCCCGAAAACTCAACCGTGAAGACCAATTGTTTCATTTGTATATTCTGGGCCCCAACATGGGCTGATATAGTATCAAACGCTAGGAGATTCTATTGCGCGCGCGCGCGCTGGGTGACCCACCCCAGGGTGGGTCACCAGAAAACTGTATGGTGAAAATCTAGCGTTTCATATTTTGGGCCCCACGGTGAGATGAATTCAGAATGAAAAAACGCACGGGTGACACGTGCCGCCCGCCCCGAAAATTCAATAGTGAAAACCAATTGTTTCACTTGTGTTCTGGGCCCAAACATGAGATGGTAGATTGTGGAACAAACGGAGTTTCCTATGGCGCGCGCAGGGCTACCCACCCAAGCGTGGGTCCCAATTCTTGAAGCAATGCGCATGGGGTGACACGAGCCACTCCGACAACTCAATGGTGAAAACCCATGGTCTTACTTGTATTGTGGACCTCAGCAGGCGACGACGATCTGTGAAACAACAAGAATTTCCTATCGCGCGCGCGCGTTGAGTGACCCACCCCAATGGTAGGTCACCCGAGAACTGCATGGTGAAAACCAATTCTTTGATTTGTAGTCTGGGCCTCAAGTGCGCGCGCGTGCGTGCGCATTGCAATGGGTGACCCACCCCAGGGTGGGTCACCCGAAGACTGAATTGTGAAAACCAATCTTGTATCGTCAAAATTTTGAGCCTCGGCATGATATAATATATTGGGAAACGGTGAAAGTTTCCTATTGTGGGCGCGCGGGTGCGCTGGGTGACCATGCCGAGAGTGGGCCACCCGAAAACGCCATGGTGATCAATCCATGTTAGAAACCAAAAAATCAATCCATTTTGCAAAACATCAATCCGTCTGACAAAAAGTCAATCATCCATCATGCAAACAATCAATCCATAACACCAAAAATCAATCCGACTTGAAAAATCAATCCATCCACTCAAATCAATTCGTTCACCACAAATCAATTCATGGAGAGCGGATTGAAAAAAAAAAAAAAAAATGACCCAGGATCTCTGGGAACAAACAACACCTCTCCGCTGCCCGGTCTGGCCCTGGTCCCCTGACGCAATTCTGTCCCGATCTGGTGTCCTCTTCTGATCAAACAGCACCCTTCCCCTGCTCGGTGTGGCCCCGGTCCCCTGACACAATTCTGTCCCGATCTGCAGTCCTCTTTAACAAACAACACCCCTCCCCTGCCCGGTGTGGCCTCGGTCCCCTGACACAATTCTGTCCCGATCTGGTGTCCTGTTTTAACAAACAACAGCCCGCCCTTGCCCGGTGTGGCCCCGGTCCCCTGACACAATTCTGTCCCGATCTGCTGTCCCCTTTAACAAACGACGCCCCGCCTCTTCCCGGTGTGGCCCCGGTCCCCTGACACAATTCTGTCCCGATCTGCTGTCCTCTGTAACAAACAACACACCCCCCTGGTCGGTGTGGCCCCGGTTCCCTGACACAATTCTGTCCCGATCTGCTATCCTCTTTAACCAACAACACCCCGCCCCTGCCCGGTGTGGCCCCGGTCCCTGACACAATTCTTTCCCGATCTGCAGTCCTCTTTAACAAACAACACCCCGCCCCTGCCCGATGTGGCCCCGGTCCCTTGACACAATTCTGTCCCGATCTGATGTCCTCTTTAACAAACAACACCCCGCCCCTGCCCGGTGTGGCCTCGGTTCCCTGACACAATTCTGTCCCGATCTGCAGTCATCTTTAACAAACAACACCTCCCCTGCCCGGTGTGGCCCCGATGTGCTGCCAGGTCGTCCGAATGGTCGTCAAGCTTGGCGTGTTGCCGCTTGTTTTAATCGATGGCAAGCGTGTGCGCGCCTTTTTTCCGTGACACCGCGATCAGCAGTTTGCCGATAGTGAATGGAGGAGTCGAGGGTGAGCAGGAGGGATGGTGGCAGAAGAAGCCGGAGCAGTCGGTCGGTGGAGTAGGCAGGGGACGGCCAGCCAGCGGGGGCGCTGTGTTCCGTGCCAGATTTTGTTGCCAGCGCTTCACGCGCGAGTCAGGCGTAGCGTGCTGCCGCTTGTTTGAATCGATGTCAAGCGTGTGCGCGCCTCGACTCCGTGCAACCGCGTTCGGCCGTCTCCGTTGCAGACGGTGGACGGAGCAGGTCAGGGTTAGCAGGAGGGATGCTTCGGAAAGAAATCATACATGTAAGAATTCAGACACCGAAATTCAAGACTGAATGGTCCTCTGGTACTTCTTCAGGTGAGCTTCATAAGCTTGCGATATCAAAAAACGGTGCGTAATGTTCCGTGGCGCCGATGGCGCGAAATTTTGTGTATTCCTGGTTTGTGTTTTGGGAACTCAATGTCCCCGTTGCCGAGCAGTCCCCTTCGCCCCAGGGCCCGCAGGTTTTCTTTGGAGTCCTGGGCTGTAAGTGGGCGCGCGTGCAGCAAAGGTTTTGTCCATAGCCTTGCGTTACAGCCTCCTTCGAGTGCCCCCCATCCGCATCCTCCTCATCCTTCCTTCCTCTACGCATGTCTCCCCTCTTCCATTTTCCACTTGCCATGCGTTTTGCATTGTCTTGCGGCGGATCCCCAGCCCGTCCTAGAGTTGTCCGCTCGCTGCGAGTTCTCTCCGATGTCGCTGATGCGGTGACGTGGCCGCGCGTGCAGAGCGCATGTCGTTCCTTGTCCCTCCTCTCTGTCGAGGACTGTGTCCTCGACCTCTGCCTTCCCCACTTTCCTGTTGCTTCTTTTGATCCGTGAGCCACTCAAATCCGGATGCTCGCGCGGAGCTCCGCCTGTGCCTTTGCGTGCAGACATGACTGCGCCTGACTCCCGTGGGTTTTCGAGGGCCGGTGACGTCGCGATTCTCGGCGGCGGCGTCTGGGAATGCCTAGGAATTCACCACCCGCCAAACGACCCCAACCCAACCCGAAGGCTTCAATTTTCCTTACATTTCCAATGGGAGGGGGTCGGGGAACATCGAACAAAACACATGGAACCCGCCCCCTCCCCAACCCGAAATTCGGGTCAAATTCGGGTCTGCGGGTTGGGTTGGCGTGGTCTGGTAGATAGTCAGGAATGATCGAGGAGGGGTAGAAGCACCATGTAGGTGGCGATCTGCACCACAGCGCCTGTGTACACCACAGTGCTTGCGTGCACCACAGTGCCTGTGTACATCACAGCGCCCATGTACACCACACAGCAGCCGCGTACAACACAGCGCCAGTGTGTGTGTGTGTGTGTGTGTGTCACAGTGCCTGCGGGCACCACAGCGATTTTGTACACCACAGCGCATGCGTACACCACACCAGCCGTGTGCAACACAGCAACGGTGTACACCACAATGCTTGCGTGCACTACAGCGCCTGTGTACACCACGGCGCCTGCGTGCACCACAGCAAAAGTGTGCAACAGAGCACCACTGTTGCATATGTCGAAGTTGAGAAATCCCTATGACAGATGGGAGCGCCTGGGGATTATACTGAAACACTTGTGTTGTTCTAGGGGTTTGAAACATTTTTATATAGGTGCAATCGACCTACTCATCCTCCTGATCCTGCTCCTGCTCCTCATTCTCCTCCTGCCCTCCCTCCCTCCCTCCCTCCTCCTCCTCCGCCACCTCCTCCTCTTCCTCCTTCTCCTCCCTCTTCTCTCCTCTCTCCTTTCTCCTCCTCTTCCTCCTCCTCCTCCTCCTCCCTCCTCTCTTCTCTCTCCTCTCCCCTCTCTCCTCCGCCTCCTCCTCATCATCATCCTCCCCCTCATCCTCCTCATCACCCCATCCTAGAACGTCCTCCTCATCCCTTATCCCTCCTCCTCCTCCTCCTCTTTCTCCTCTTTCCTCCTCCTCCTGCTCCCCGTCACCCTCCTCCTCCTCCTCCTCCTTCTCCTTCGCCCCCTCCTAATGCTGCTGACCCTCTCATCATCCTTGCCGTCCGCCCCATCATCGTACTCCTACTCCTCCCTCATCATGCTAGCTGCCCCCCCCTCCCTCGTCCTCCGCAAGTGCCACATCTTCCCTCACATATGTATGTGTTTATGCTGCAGCGTCTTCTCCTCGTCCGCGTCGTCCTCCTCCTCCTCCTCCTCCTCCTCCTCCAGCATCCTCATATGTGCCCCCCCTCATCTCCTCCGTCCTCCTCCACCTCCAGTAGCATCCCCCCAGTGCCGCCACCCTTCCAGTGCCTCCCCCCCCTCCCTCCCCCCCCTTCCCCCTCCTCCACCTTCCCCCCTCCGCCCTCCTCCAGTGCCATCTCCTCCTCCTCCTCCCTCACTCCCCCCCTCCCTCCCTCCCTCCCTCCCCAGCTCCCTCCAGTCATTCCTGTTTCCCTCCCTCCCCTTCCTTCGCTCCCTCCCGCCATTCCTCCCTCCCTTCCGCCCTCCCTCTCTCATCCCCTCCCTTCCCTTCCCTCCCTCCATACCCCATCTCCCTCCCTCCCTCCCTCCCTCTCTCCCTCTCTCCCTCCCTCTCTCCCTCCTTCCCTCCCTCACTCCCTCCCCCTATCTTCTTGTCCCCTCTCCTCATCCGTGTCGCCCTCCCCCTCAATCGTGGCCTTTTTCCTCGTCGTCGTCGTCGTCGTCCTCCGAGTGCTGTTCCTCCAACTCATCCCCCTCCCTCGTCAACCTACCCCCCGCAGCGACGCTTCCTGCAGCCCTCGTTCGCCCGCCGCGCGCGTGGCCCCGCCTCGGTGCATGCGCTCCGGCTGGCGCAGGTCGTTGCGGAAGCTGAACCCGGTTTTTAGGTTCGCCGGCTCACGGAATCGGGCTCCGATGCCAGCGGCAATGCAACCAGTCTTGGGAGGCCAGGTGCCAAAGGACAGGATGCGATGCTGCTGGTTAGGTGTTTGTAGCGGCATGGCTGCGCTCGGTGCCGCCTCGCTCGCAGCTTCTTGCTGCCGCGCGCAGCTTTCGTAAGCGGGGGCTGACCCATGCGCGCAGGCTCGCCGACGCACGGGATTGGGGCCCGAGGCCAGCGGCCATGCAACTACGTCCAGCAGAGGCCAGGTGCCAAGAGACACGTTGCGTTGCTGTCGATCCTGTTCCGTCGGCGTGCGCCTCTCTCCGCCTTCTGAAACCCTCTATTGTAGCAAGCACGGTGCTAGTGCATGGCCTGCCACGACGAGTGGGAGCTGAACCAGGCGTGTAGGTCCACTTACACATTGGGTCGGGCTCCGTTGCCAGCGGCGCTGCGACAGTCTTGTTTAGGCCTCTGGCCTCAGGGGAGTGTCGCGATGCTGTTGGCGAGGTGCGTCGCGGCGCGTCGTCTGACGCGCACTTTTGCGCCCGCCCGCCCATCTGTCTGGCGCGGGGCGCCCTTCCACATGAAGCGGCACGTCCTGTGCCCTGCTTGTCTCGCAGCCTCTGGCTGCTCTCGCGATTGCAGTCCTCGGCGGGCACTGACCTAGTTGCGTAGGTTCGCTTGCGCACGGGATCGGGCTCCGCCGAGTGATGCCTTCGGCAATGCAACGAAGTCCAGCAGTGGCCAGGTGCCAGAGGACCTGTTGCGATGCCGGGGGCAGGCCTTCGCTACGCTGCGCGGCGCGCTTGTGCATCGCCGCGGCCCTTTCGGCCTGCGACGGCTCAGCTGTCGAGCGGAAACTGAGCCAGCTGCGTGGGCTTGCCGACGCATGGGATCGGGTTCCGTTGCTAGCGGCACTGCGACACCCCCGGACATTTAGAATAGCGGATGTCCGCCGCCGAACGAGGCGGCACCGGCTGCACTATGGGGAGGGCACGTCCCCCGATCCATGGATTTGGCGACCGCGCGCCAAATCCATGGGTCGCTAATCCATGTTTGCGCGTCCCCGATGCTTGTCTTCCTTTACTATGGGCTTCGGGCTCTCTAGGATGGCCTCTTGGAGCCCTCTTGGGCCGTCTTGGTGGCGTCATGAATTGTCTGGAGGCTATTGTGGGAGCCTCTTGGGTGGTGTTGGGCCCTTGATCTCATCGTTGCTGTCTTGAGCGTCGTCCTGGGGACCATGAGGCCCGCAAGAAGGCCCCAAGACAGATCAATGAGCCCCCAAGACGGCCCAATCCGTCTCCAAAAGGCCAAACCGTTGATTTGCCTGAAGTTTTGATGGATTCTGAGGCTCTGGCATGTTTGGGTATCCGACCGCCCCAAAAAACCCGAGAGATTCCTCTGGGCCGTTGTGTTATTTCTTCGGTGCGCTTCAGAGCCGTCTTGGGGCCATCTTCGGAGCCCCTTGGACGATCTTGGGGTCCTCTTGAGCCGACTTGGGGCCCTCTTGGATGCCTCTTGGACTGTCTTGGAGCTATGTTGGAGACATCTGGGCGGCCTCTTGGGCCGCTTTGGGCGATCGGAAACCCGAATCGGCGAGCACTTCAAAAAACATCAAACACCTGAGGCACATAAGTGGTGCTGCCCCCCTCGGGCTCTCCAGGAAGGCATTTGTTTTCTGAGCTTCGTGGGCAGTCTTGGAGGTCTCTTGGGCCGTCTCCAGGCCCTCTTGGGGGCCTCGTGGGCCGTCTTGCGGCCGTCTTTAGAGGCTTGCGACCTATCTTGGGCCATATTGAGCCGTTTTGTTGTCGTCTTGGTTGTCGTGGAAGCCGTCTGGGAGGCCATCTTGACCGTCTGGAGGCCGAACAGACCGCCAGAAAACGATTCCAGAGGGGGCGGGTTTCGAAGCGCGCGTGCCGACAGGGGAGGGGGGTCAGCCCTAGAACATGTTACAGACCTCCCAGGCAACAGACGAGCAATCTAACACGCCCATTCCGTGCACACGCGACTATTATGGTTCATTTCTCGTGCTGGGCGCTGTGCGGGTCGCTCTCGACATTGCCTTTGTTCCACGCGTCCTGGCTCGGCACTCTGACCTGGGTGGCGTCGTTCGTCTCTTCCTGTGGCTCTCGGCGTCCGAGCGGCATCGTGAATGAGGTCCTCGCGCCAGCTGTGACCGTCTTCTTGATCTTGCTCTGGACTGGTGATGCCCGTGGCGCTCTCGTGTCTGGACTGCGCGGGTGTTGGCTCATTTTGATCGGTCCCAGCAAAAATGCCTCGTCGGACCCACTGTTCTAGTACTGCTGCGCCTCTTTTGCACCATCCCCTGCAGCCTCGCACTCCTTGGCGTCGCTGCCAGTGTGGGCACCTCTGTTGGAGATGACGGCGCATGTCTGATGATCTCCGTCGGCGACAGGACTGATTGTAGTGAGGGCTATGCTTTTTCTGTTGGTGCCAGCGGAGTCCATGGAGCTGCTTGCTGTGACTACTGAAATGTCTGCTGCTGATCCAGCGGTCGTTCAATCATCGTCTGCATATTGCGATATGTTGCAGTACTGGGTACATCTGTGACTGCACCTGCTGCTGAATGATGTCTGCCTGCGATGTTGTCGGGGGCCCATCCCCTGCCAAGGCTGCTGCCGTACGATTGGGCTGGGCTGTTGACGTTTGCGACCCTGACGACATCGTTGTCCGACGATGCTCCGTGGTCAGACTTTCTTCGCAACACTCAGGGTCCATCTCCATATGTTCTGCTCGTATGCACCTGATCAGCTTGATCTGCTGCTTGCTTCTTTTACACTGTCATTTCGTGAATCTCGGACTTGGTGCGCTTGAGGGCGTCGAGTTGATCCTGAAAATTGTCGCGCATGGCCACCCTTGTCTCGTAGATCTCCTTTTGGACTTCCACTGCCTTGTTTGCCGCTTCGACTCTCAACATCATTCTCGCTACAGCATTATCCTTAAGATAGAAGTCTGCCGACAAATATCATGGACTGACTCCTTTGTGGCCCATGCGATCTGGTACCTCTGCTGGAACAAGTTCAGCTTGGACATGGTCTTCTTGTAGTAGATCCTCTTCTCGCCCTCGTCTGCCTTCGTCGAGAGCGTCTTGTAGTCTGTGTGCGCTGCTGCTTCTGCTTGCGT